GCTTGCTTTGAAAAACCTTTGCAAGAAGGGCAAGACTGATCTTGGTGTGATTCTCCAAGACAAAACATTTATCGTGTCCGTCTGATTAAGGGATTTTTTGGGAACAGACGACACACTGCTTGAAGCCCTGAGGGGCCATAAACAGAAGAGAAAAAGGGGAATTGTTGATGGGGGGGGGGAAACACAATAGAACAGAAGAAGTAACTCAAAATCAGCAAGTTCTGTCGAATAACCGTTAAAAGTAAGATAAAGTAAATAATAAAAAAGAGAAAAAAGATAGCTAGCTAGCTAAGTACTTAATGGCCGATAGCGCTGCTCTTCCTACGTCCTACAGGAATGGTGGAAAAAAAGGAACTGAAAGGAAGATGGAGGAGGCGGGGCTTATATACCTCACGGGGGTGAGCTAATTGACTCTTTTTTCTTAAGCTCTAGAATCTTCCAGAAGTTCCTGCGCAGGCGCAGGATAACCCATTTGTGTACATTCACAGAGACCACTACGAAGAACCAGTTTGGTTATGTCTATTCTCTTTATTCCAATAAAGGTTTTGTCCTGTCTTGTCTTGACTGAGATGGTCAGATTCGTATTATTCCCCATTAATTACATGATACACAAGTCAATGTGAATCTTCCGGGAGTCCCGTCTCTCTCCCCCCTTCACATTTGTATAGACAACAGAGAGAGGGAGGGAGATTGAGAGAGGGGGGAGGAAAAAGTATTCAACACTTGTTTACAAGACTAGCTGGTAGGTGTCCATTTTCTTCAGCTGACCAGACATGGGTCAGGGACAAGTTTCCCTCTAAGGTGTGCACCTCTGCATACAACTCTGCCTCCCTCCGCACAGCCTTCATCCTCCTCTGTGCACCAACAGTGATTGTTTTCAGCCCCTTTGGTTCTAGTCACTACAAAATCCACGTGTGGGAGGGGGGAGGGAATTGCACATGTGTGGGGCAGAGCCAAGCCTAGCAGGGCTGAAAATTAGAAGGAATGTTAGTCAAGGACAAGGAAATCCTTATTTGCAGCCTGTTAAGGTAGCTCTGTAATAGCACGCCTCCTGCAAATATGGACGGCTACAGTATATAAGCCATAAACAAGGCCAATTTCTTTCTCTCTCTCTCCTGACTCAAATTCCAAAGGGAATTTGTCTAGGGAAATCTGATTTCCCAGGTGCGATTTCAAAGTGGATCACTGTGTAGTCACAGTCTTCAGCTTGATGCCCCTCAAAAAGTTGCCCCTCACTTTCTTTCAGCTTGATGCCCCTCAAAAAGTTGTTACGGGGCTATAGAGGAAAAGATGAAGATAGCTTGGTTAACTTTTGTCTTGCTGAAGGAAAGGCAGAATATAAACATGTTCAAGAAGCATGTTTCAAAGGAGGTCATAAAAAATCCCCTTGCCACCAAACCATAAACTGCAACAGCTTAGGGGGGAAGACAAAATTCCTTTCATTTCACCAAGTATGATACTAATTACTCTAATGCTGGATATATAGTGATCTACTGGCCTCTAGCTGAGAGGAAAAAGATCACTGTTTAAGCAGTGATATGTTCCCCCCTTAGCTGTATTTTCCTGAACACACTATAATTTCAATGACTTCCAAGGCAGTCTAAATACAGACATGGCATTCATGTATATCCTCCTTTCTAGCCTTTATCATGAACAGGAATAATAGCATTCTAAAGGCATATTTTCCCTGTTCCCCTGGGCTGCCTCCCTAGGGAAGCTAGATGTCGATTTAAACTCAGATAACTGGCAGACATAATGGCAAACAACCAGGTAGAAACAGCAGGAGCAACTGTTCTTTTCAAGTCTTCTGCATTTAAAGTACACAATTGGTGCTGAGCCAAAACAATCTTTTTTGTTCCATTGTCACTTTCATTGTTGAGAGAGAGGGAGAGAGAGAGAGAGAGAGAGAGAGAGAGGGGGTGGAACAACTTCATTTTGTTCCACCAATATCATCAGTGGCCTTGGACGATACAGAACAGTTTTGATTTTCATGTCATTTGTTTAAATGTTCCTCAAAACATTTATTGGTTATCCCTAATCAAATATGCAAAGCAGAACTTAAATTCTACAAAAGACTGACTCAACTGTAGAAGTGATGCAAAATTATAGCAGTAAACCTGGGCTTCTCCCCTTTGAAATACTGTATGTCATTCAGGCCACAACACAAAAAGGCTTACAGTTGGACCCAGGTTTAGGCATGATGGAATGGAAGAAGTGGGCCTCCCTGCTTCCCCCCTGTAGAAATACTGCATAGATGTCTGAGAGATCCTGATGAAACCAGTAGGCTCTAGTCTGGGTAGAAGGGGGAGCACCTGTAAACAGGACTAGTCCTACCATTAGGCAGAGTGGTGTTAGGCAAAGCACTGCGTAGAGCTCTTTAGAAGGGGCTATTTTCAGTGTGCTGTACAGACTTCTCACAGACAGTATGTTGTCCAAGGAAGAGCCCTTTGCTCTGGTACAATGTAACTTGCCAACAATTCCTAATTCTCAAGGACCTTCACAGAGTCTGCCATTTTGTAAAGAGAAGTCACTGTAAAGAAGGCAATGCGTGCAATGGGGAGGAGGTGTGAAGGAGTTGGCTTCGCTGGGAAAGAAGAAGGGAGGTGGCGACAAGGAGAGGAAAAGAAGGCAGCAGGGAGCAGGGAGATGGGAAAGCCAATGGAAGAAGACGAGAAAGAGATGGTGTAAACACATAGGAAGCAAAGGGAGTGGCGATGCCATGGAAGTTTTGATGCTTCTCTTCTTACCTCAGGCTGCAGGAGAACTTTGGCTATCCCTGCCCTAAAATTGGATGGAGGAAGCTTCTATGAGTAGAGTTCTACTCACAGAATGTGATTCCCCTGGTTTTCGGGATTCCTCCCCCCTCTACCTGCATCACAATTTTTTCAAAGTCTTCCCAGCTTATAAAAATTGTTGAGAGTGGGTAAACACAGTGTTGAATGCTTCCCTATAGCAAATCTGGATTCCAACATGCCTAAATGAGGCAAGATGTTTGCTGAAGAGCCTTCACTTTAGTGGATCATCATTGACTGATCCCCAATATTCCATTCTTTCACAGGGTACTGGAACATATTGTGGCTTCTCTGTTCCAGATTATCTAGATCTGTTTTAATTTTGGCTTCACTCTGTTAAGGGACAGAGACAGCTGTAGTCCCTCAGAACTGGACAGAAGGAATGTATCTCTGTTGTTTCTGCTGGAGCTCTTGGCAGCTTTGGATACCATCAACCGTGGTATCCTTTTGGCTCACCTCCCTGCAGTGGAATTGGAAAACTTTGGCCAGTATCCTGTTGGGAATTTCCATACTCAAATCACATTGTGCAAACAGTTGTTGGGTGGAAAGGTATCTACTGTGCAACTCATTGTGTAACTGATGGTGTGACTGGTTGCAAAACTGGTGCACTGCTTCAGTTGTATGTGTAGAAATCCCCAGAAGAGTACTGGCCACTGTTTTGTGGTGCCTCTGCTCCTTTTTCAGAGGGGCAAGTTGTTGAGAGCACTAAGTCCATAAATGCAGCAAAATCCATGAGTTTACTCAAGCTGTGAACTATATTCAGAGGGAAGATAATAATAGTAATAATCCTAGAACTGCAGAACTGAAAGAGACCCTATGGATGAGACAGCTATTGATGATTCTCCATGGCCCAAGAGAAGTCTTGCCTCTAGTGCAAGGCTGAGACACCAAGTGCTTTTTTTGGCCTTACAGTATTTAGCATTGTGATCTTTTTTCCCTTTATGCAGTTAAGCAAGCAGACGACTGACAGATTAGACAGAGACAAACAAGCCACTCAATGCTACTACTCATTAATATAACCCATACAAAAACAATTAAAGGTAAAAAAGGTAAAGGTTTCCCTTGACAATTTTTGTCCAGTCGTGTTCGACTCTAGGGGGCGGCGCTCATCCCGCTCTTCAAGCCATAGAGCCAGCGTTTGTCCGAAGACAATCTTTCCATGGTCACATGGCCAGTGTGATTTAGACACGGAATGCTGTTTACCTTCCCACCGAGGTGGTCCCTATTTATCTACTCGCATTTGCATGCTTTCGAACCGCTAGGTTGGCGGGAGCTGGGACAAGCAACGGGCGCTCACTCCGTCGCGTGGATTCGATCTTACGACTGCTTGGTCTTCTGACCCTGCAGCACAGGCTTCTGCGGTTTAGCCCACAGCGCCACCACGTCCCAATACACACACACAAAAAAACAATTAGGTATTAATTTTTTAAAAATTGTTTTAAAAGTTTCATATATTTGTAGAAAATATGCCAAACTCAGTTTCAGAAGTGTGCAAAATCTGAGACTGACATAAACAAAAAAATCTCCCCATTTCATGAAATGGTTCATTTACTATAGAAGGATGAATGAGATTGGGAACTACATGCTTATGTGCTCTGAGATCATTTAATCTGAGCATGCATTTCTTACGGTATGATCTCAGCATGTTTTCTGAGAAATAAGTCACAAAACTGGAGAGTTAAAAAATCTGACAGGGAAAAAAATGATTTGTGTGAAATCGGGTGCTGGAGGAGAGATCTTCAGATACCCTGGACTGCCAGAACAAGTGGATCAAATCAAGCCTGAACTATATGTGAGGTAAAAATATTGAAGCCGAGGCTGTCCTGCTTTGGGCACATCATGAGAAGACAGGAATCTCTGGAAAATACAATAATGCTGGAAAAGGTGGAAAGCAGCAGGAAAAGAGGAAGACAAAATATGAGATGGACACAATCCCTAAAGGAAGACAAAGCCCGGAATCTACAAGAGCTGAGCAGGGCTGTTAAGGACAGGGCAGTCTGGAGATTGCTCATTCGTAGTATTGCCATAAGTCGGAATTGCCGTGATGGCACATAACAACAAATAATTGAATATAACCCTCCATAAAAATTATATCCTACATTGATTAGATTTTAATTCAACACTCCACATCTGTGCATTCAATATTAAAGCATCAGGAATGTTGAGAGTCCTGTAAAAAAGGCACTCCGAAAACAGTTGCCCCATTACCTTATCCTTTTTTTGCTTTTCATCCTGATATATGGTCCAGTGCTCTCCATCATGGCTGTAGGCAAGTTTATAGGAACCCACAAACTGTACATGACCGAAATCTTTAGCTCCTTGAGTAATAATGCCTGTCACTTTTGTAGGAACAAGAAGATCAATCTATAAATGAAAAGCAAACACAACAGGGGATGTTAGAATAGATTGCATTTTCAAAATCATTTTCTATTTTATAAGAAAAGAACTTGGAGAATAATAGAATAGTGAAGTTGGAAGGGGCCTATAAGGCCATGGAGTCCAAACCCCTGCTCAATGCAGAAATCTAAAGCAAGGCAGATCTGCCAGGCGGTTGTCTAAATTTCTCTTGAATGCCTCCATTGTTGGAACACTCACCACCTCTTGAGGTAATTGACTCCACTGTCGTACTGCTCTAACAGCTAAGAATCTTTTCCTGATATTAAGCTGAAGTCTGTCTTTCTGTAACTTGATGTGTGTTCTGCACTCTGGGATGATGGAGAACAGATCCTGCCCCTCCTCTGTATGACAGCCTTTCACATATTTGAAAAGTGCTGTCATCTCTCTCTCCCCCCCTCCCTGCAATCTGCAATCTTCTTCTCTCAAGGCTAAACATGCCCAGTTATTTCAGTCTTTCCTCATAGGGCTTGATTACCAGCCCCCTGATCATCCCTGTTGTCCTCCTCTGATCTTCTTCCAATTTGTCAGCATCCTTCTTGAAGTGTGGTGTCCAAAACTGAATACAACATTCAAGATGAGGCCTAACCGGGGTCACAAAGAGTCGGACATGACTAAACAACTAAACAACAACAGTACCTCATGGGATTTAGAGACTATTCTTCTGTTATCAAAGCCTAAAATAGCATTTGCCTTTTTTGTAGCCATATCACACTGTTGGCTCATATACAGCTTGTGATCTACGATGACTCCAAGATCTTTCTCGCTTGTAGTATTGCTGAGCCAGGTATCACCCATTCTGTAACTATGTGTTTGGTTTCTTTTCCCTAGATGCAGTACTTTGCACTTAGCTTAGACCTGTTAAATTCTGTTGTTTTCAGCCCAGTGCTGAATGACCTTCTTTATTAGATCACAAAAGAAATGATACAAAGCAACAGGAGGAATGCTGAAAGCAATAAGAAGATTTTACTTGTACCTTTGACACATTGGATAAACAGTTTTCAACATCATTCAAATTATATTCCCTTCTAGTTTCATGTGCTCCTTGGACAGTATACTAGAGGTCACAGGAAGGAATGGAAATCGCTCCCAAGGTGAGAGTACAGAGAGTACAGAAGAACCACAACAAAATGGAATATGCCCCTGATAAAAACCGGCAAATTGTTCACAAAACACTCTATAGTTGTTCTGCCTCTTCTTGCTGAGAACTAATAACTAGTGATATGCTAGAATCTGGATAAATTACTCATTCTTGAATTTGCAGGTTGTTGTGGAGTAGCCCTACAACATTTCTTGACTTCAATATGAGAATGGGATTACATCTCTATTTCTTGTCTAGGTTTCTGCAGTTTTAATCCAAACTAGTGCCTTTCCCTGTTGCAAAGCAAAGTACATGTCCCCCCCCAACACATACACAGGTGAGGGGGGCACAGAAAGTCTGGTTAAATGTTCAAAAAGATTCAAACAACTCCTCAGACATTTCCATTTTTTGCAAGAAGAGAGACACTATCTAGCTGTGCAATTTTTGTGGTTTGCATGAAAACCATTACCACTAATGGAAGAACCTATCAAGACTGACAGAATATATTTCACTGTGTCAAAGGCAAAGAGAACAGTCTTGTAGTTACCTAATGTTCCTGTTAGTAACTAGAGTTATGTGGAGGTTCACGTAACCTGTTATATTATTCTACATCTAATTCTGTCTCCACCATAACATCAAGAGATTTTATATGCTGCTCTTTTCCTCTAAAGAAAATGGCTGTAAGGTAGGGCAGAATAGAACTGAGGATCAGTTAAATCAATCAATCAATCAATCAATGGGACAATATAAATTTATATTTAAAAAAGACAACAGTCAGGATTCAGTGGAGTACATCTACATAATCCTGCTGCTTCTACCAGAGTCAGTGACCCCTGCACAACTTTCTGATAATATACATTTATATTAAAAAAGACAACAATCAGGATTCAGTGGAGTACTTCTACATAATCCTGCTGCTTCTGCCAGAGTCAGTGACCCCTGCACAACTTTCTGCAGAAACTGTGCATCTTTAGACCTGCTTCAGAGGATTGGAAAATCCTCTGGAAAAATATTTGATGCCATAGGATTTGCAGGAAGAAGGGGAGGGGGAAAAGGTCTCACTTCTACTGGCACTGCATGCTCTAATTTACCATATAACACTACTAGAACCATTTTACTTAGATGATGTACAATAATCAATTCTATTGGTTTTTCCAGGTCATTATTACTAGTTTATTGTTTCTTCTAATATAATACCCATAAGGAACTGAGCTGCTTACTGTTTTAGCCTTAATCAGGTATTCTGTAAATATGTGTACTCTACAGGCATGGAAGGGAGCCCAATAGCCCTCCCCTCCCTATGGCTGCATTCAGCACATGAAAATGTGAGTCTGAAGAAGGGGAGATGGTTGTATCTGGGTAGGCTCTACACATGAACCATACCACACAAAAACATTGGTCTCCAGGTCATGTGGGGAGCCAGGAAGCTACAACAGCCTTTCCTTCTTCAGCTTAGTGCTTTTGTGTGTTGGAAGTCACAAAGGAAGGAACTAAATTCACAGTTTTCCTCCACACATGTGGAGCACACACCCTTTTGTGAACAAAACACTCTACATTTGTTCTGTCTCTCCTTGCTGAGAACTAATAACTAGTGATATGCTAAAATCTGGATAAATTACTCATTCTTGAATTTGCAGGTTGTTGTGGAGTAGCCCTACAACATTTCTTGACTTCAATATGAGAATGGGATTACATCTCTATTTCTTTTCTAGGTTTTTGCAGTTTTAATACAAACTAGTGCCTTTCCCTGTTGCAAAGCAAAGTACACATCCCCCACCTAGAGTGGTCGCAATGACCAGATAGGCGGGGTATAAATGGAATAAATAAATAAATAAAATAAATAGAACTCCTGAGCAGAGCTTTTAAGGAAGTGGATATATGCTGTTCATTGTCCTTTCCTTTCCTCCGCCGTGTTTGCTCGCATGCCTATACTGGGGGCTTAAATTGTAGCTTTCCTTCTGGCAAGCTTTAGGGCACTCAGGGGCCTTCAAGGTTTTTCACAAGACTTCATCTTTGGGTCAGCTTGGCCTCGCAGCTGCTGTTACAGCAGATCAAGACTTCCCCAGGAATCTTCCAGCCCTCTCAGATATGGTTTAACTTTTGGCTTGACAGATTTCAGCCTCAGAGTGCTTCTTCTGTTTTGTTCTGTACTCTTCCTTCCTCAGCAAATATTTCAGACTTCTTCACACTCTGCCTGACACATTTCAACTGTACTTCCCCTTCTGCCATTGTCCTTACTTTCCCTGTGATTGAACCAATCTCAACCAATCAGCCTGTTCTTGGGTGGAAGTTCCCCTCTGCTCTAATAGACCAAGAGGTTGAAACATAATGTTCACAGTAATCTTACCAATTTGATATTGAATCCATCACACCAGTGTCAAGGAACATAAATGTTACTTCATATAATCATTCTTGTTAGCAGCAACTATTTAACTCAGCAGTGTCTTTAATTTAAATAATACTAACATACAAAGTGGTACGTTTCAGCTCTTCCTTAACACATCTCCTCTGTAATCTTCCTTCTACAATGATTTGGCTCAATTGGCAAAATAAAGACCATTATCGGGTGGCTCTACCTGCATATTCATCTGTCAAGTGGTCTCAAATGTGTTTCATTATGCTGAGTTTCTCCCCAATGCTCCGTATATTTTGTTAGCAAAGATCATTCAGTTTCTCCAATGCAAAATTAACTGCACTTGGAACAATGTTGCACACAGCCTCCTTGATCCCACTTTCCAACAGAAATCAACCAATCCCATGTTTAAACCATAAAGATAACATTTTACTAGCTATTCAAATTGCAGACTATGTTACCTTTAATCGTATGTCAATCTAAAATCATTTGGACTTTCCAAATTCTGACTGTTATGAAAAGAATCCTCATGATAGGCAGCCATTTAACATACCCAATACTCCTGACAACTGGAACTGATGCTTTTGTTTCCACTAATGTTACTACTCTTTTTCAGATTCCTCCTGCTATTTACTGGTAGACACTGTGACAGCTTTCTGTATTGTTTTATTTGCTGTCTGTCTTTCAACATCATGAGATGTGCAGACCTGTCATTCAACAGCATGTTTCCTCCCTTACGTTTCCTTTACCATTTGGTTTCCAGTTCATTGATAATCCTTAACTCTACATTAAAGAAAAGACAAGGAAAGAAAAAGAAAAGAAAAGAAAAAGCAACCATTTTGCAAGGAAGGCCTTATCTCAAGCTCTGGTGGCTCAGCTGATAGGAGCAGTTCACTCACTGCAAATAAGTTAACCCTTTAGTTTGTAGATCCCAAGTGATCTACAAACTGCTAAGCAGATATTATTAACCTTGAGTTTAATAATACCACACATATGGACAACTTTGATGTTGCAGCACTATATACAAATGTAGACAATGAAGATGTTGGACCAGCCTGATAGAAGTGGCAAAAGAAAATTGCTATGTTATTGATACTTGTGGTCTACAGAGAGAGACATGCAAGCAGCATGCTTGCAGTGTAGCATCTACTTTAGTGTTGAATACTCACAGAATTGTACTTTGGCAATGGGTATTAGATTGGCACCATTATTAGCAGTCTTACACATTAATTCAAATGTGGATTGCAGTTCATATTCCTTTATCCATATGGCTTCTATCAGTAAATTAGCATTTTTGTGAATTCCTAACATACTATTGGTAACAAATTTTATTACTGCACATTTGATTTCTTGGTAAACAAACAAGCAAATACTCTGTTTAAGCTATTGGTAATTATTTTTAACGTTATAGTTATTTGTTTTGCATTTTAGTATTAAATCTTGAAGATGCTATATGATCAGATAAATTTTCCCTCCAGAGCAAATAATATATCTTTGATGGACTGACATCAAAGACAACCATCTCTAGACTGGATT